TTAATAAAAACCTATCTCTCCCTGCTCTCTTCACTGAGGCCTTTCACAGTCTCAGCCCACCTGCACCCAGGTGCCTGGGATAAAAATCTCTTTTGATACATTATGGCCTCATGTCATAAGTGTGCCACCCCATCCCACTCCAAACCGTTCAGTATCTATTTTTGTTACTTTACATACATAAAATCCTAACCTGCCATATTTTTGTGTCTGGATAAATTTCACTTAAAATATTTCTATAAGTAGTTCTAGATTGTATTCTTCTTATTCTGTGTAGAATTCCATTTTATAAATATACCACAGATTAGTTATCCATTGTTCTATGTATTGTTGAATGTTTTCATTGGTTCCAATTTAGAGGTTTTATGAATAGCGACATTGTCAACATCCTATTCCATTTTATGTTTAGAAACTAAAGCAATTTTTATTATAAAATAATAAAAATTAGAATTTGTCATGTATTTATTAAATAATCAATTATTATTTAGAGAAAAATATGCACAAAAATTCCTGATACTGCCAATTAAAACAGCTATTCTCATTCCCCCTTGGGTCCACACCAATACTCAATCTATATGAGCTTAATCTTGAATATATTTCTGCTTAGATATATTCTTTACACTGACATTGCTGAGTCATAGACTATGCATATTCAGTAAACGCTGACAAATGCATTTCCAGAGTGATTATGCAATGGCAGAGGGGTTCTCCTCCCTCACCCAGGATAGAAATCAAGAGAAGAGGCCAAATTGATTCAAAAGAGAAGTTTACTAAAAACTGGGTGAGAGGGAAATAGGAGTGAGCTTGACCCATCAAGGGAGCACACACTGACAGAATATGGCTCCCAGAACTGCTGCTGGGGTCTGGCTTTTATAGAGCTGGCTTTTCAGATCTTTTCGTTCTTCAGATTCCCAACCTGGACTGGCATTGACTGGCACAGGTGCAGACACTTGGTTTGGGGAGTGAGTATCTGAAGGGAAACTTTAATCTTATCTAGGAGAGGGTCAATAAGTAACTGAAAGATTCATTTAGTGATTCAGCCTATCTCAGTTACATCAATGCATGTTCCCACCAGCAGTGCAAATGTAACCCACCCACCATTCCATTAAGGTTGTTTTTGTAAGTGATGACCCGTTAACTAATATGTAACTGTTTGCTTAAAAATTCTAGGAACTAACTTCAAAAGAAGCAGACTTCAATTTCCAGACATTTCGGCACCAGGTGGTTTGCTGACCATCAGTCATTTAAAAAAACAGGATAATGCAAACCAGACCATGGATGGCTTGACCTGTTATCAGAACAGACTGCGCTGATTTGTACATAGTCCCCTCAACAGACAACTCTCAAACCTCTCCTTTGTAATGTTTATTTTCTTTCCCGTCCCTTTTTATAAAAACCCCTGCCTGAGTCCAGTTGTTAAGATGGTCTTTGAAATGTTAGTCTGCCACCTTCTCAAACTTCCTACTCTTGAGCAAACCTCTTTCCTTTCACCAAACCTTGTCTCTCTGTTGTTGGTTCTCGAGCTGCAGGCAGTTGAACCTGGGTTGAGTATCACAGACAGTTATGATCAATCCATATCCTTGTCAAGATTTAATACTTCCCACTGTTTTCTTCATAACCATTCTGGATCATGTGGCTGGATATCATAATGATTTTAATCTGCATTTTCCTGATGCTGAATGAAATTGAAAATCTTTTCATATGTTTAATGGCTGGATTTATATTTTATTTGAAAAGTGTTTGTTCATATCTTTTGTCACCTTTACATTGTATTTCATGTCAACTATTTTTTTCAGTTGTAAGAATTATTTTTATAGTTTTCATATGAGGTCAGATATATACATCTGATTATGTAATTCTGATAAAATATTTTCTTTCATTATGAGAGTTTCCCTTTTCACACTATAAATTTTGATGAACAGATCTTTTTTTAAAGAAGCTCAATCCATCTTTTTAAATCTTATATTGTTATCACTTTGTGTGCAGTGAAAGGTTGGGAGTGGTACAGGGTCGCACACCCATGACATGAGGCCATAATGTATCAAAAAAGATTTTATTCTGACCACCTGGGTGCAGGTGGACTGAGACTGAAAAAGGCATCAGTGAAGAGAGCAGGGAGAGATAGGTTTTTATTAATCCTTGTGGGCTGCAAGCCGCTTTGCTGACATAAAGGTCTGGTCCGTCCTTGGTTCCTCCCATGCCAGGTGTCTTCTGGTTATCTGAGCTATGCTGTGCTCAAGGCTGCAAGCTTTCTGCAAGATATCTGCTAAACACAACAAGTCTTTCTCTGCCCTGTTTTATTCTCTTTAACCCTTTCATGCAGTATGCATTATTTGAACATGCCATTATATGATCAACCAAACTTGATATTAGACTGTAATAAGGAATAAAAGCATGTATTTGTGCATCCTAGGAGACACAGATTCAGGGAGAAACCTATATTGTCCAGAGAAGTCACATTTTATAGAGAATTTTCTCACCCATAGTTCTTACTTTGGTCTCCTGTAAATGAGGTTTTCAAATTATATAGTTTTCATTGGTCCACATGAATGCAAATGAAGATATAATTTATGTAGCTCTGATTAAACCAGGCATGTCTCAGGTTATTGGTCAAAAGGCAAAACCAGGGCTTCCCTTCAGTGATGGACCCAGATGGCATAAAAAAGCAGGACATAGTGTGGGAAGCCAAGAGTTTATTCAGAGGTTGTTCTTGGTATACTGAGTACTTGGGCATCTCCTATTGGAAATGGCTGCTAGACTCTTATTATTCATAAAATGTAAGCCCTCAGTTGACCATGGGGAGTCCAACTCAGCGGATAAACTCTGTGATTGGGGTTCATATCAAAGGAATCTTTCTTTTCAGGGCCCATGATATATTTACCCCAAGCACCTGGATTTTTAAAATTTAACATCTATAATAATAACCTCTGCCAAAACATGCTATTACTTCCTCTAATAGGCATGATTAATCAGTAATAAAATTATTGAGAATATACATATTAAACTTTAGTTTTCACTGCCTTATTTTTCCACAGTGTTTATAGCAATTTAGTCTCTCAAAGTAAAATCATCCTAGTTTCTTCGCATTCTAATCAACATTTGGTACTATTGTTCAAACTTTGGAATTTTAGCCATCCTGAAGGGTAGGTAGTGATATCACAGTATAGTCATAGTTGCATTTGTCTAATGATTAATGATCTTGTCTGTTGTTGATTTGTTGATGATAGTCATTCTGACAGGTGTGAGATAGTACCTCGTTGTTTTGATTTGCATCTCTCAGATGATTAGTGACTTTGAGCATGTTTTCATATGTCTCTTGTCCTTCTGCATATCTTCTTGCGAAAAGTGTCTATTTAGGTCTTTTGCCCATTTTTTTGATTGTTTGTTTATCTTCCTTTTGTTAAGTTGTATGAGTTTCCTATAAATTTTGGAGAAGCCATAGGCAGCAAAATAGCAGACATTTGTTGTAGCAATATCTTTACTGATACAGTTCCTAAGGCAATGGAAACTAAGGAGAAAATAAACAAATGGGATTACATTAAAAAAAAAAAAAAAAAAGCTTCTGAAAAGAAAAAAAAAAAAAAAAAAAAAAAAAATCAACAAAACAACAAGAAAGCCCACTGCATGGGAGAACATATTTGCCAATGTTATCTCCGATAACAGTTTAACTTCCCAAATTACAAGTTTTAATTTTATTTAGAGTGCTATTTATCTATTTTAGCATTATTATATTTTGTACCCTCTTTATGAAATCTTTGCAAGGTCTTATTTCACTTTTTTTAAAGAAATGTCATGGGTTTAGTTTTCACATGCATATTCATAATATATCTCAATTAATTTTTACACATGACACAAGCAAATGACCAAGGTTCGTGTGTTCCATAGGGAGCCTGTTTACTAAGAAGCTCTTCTTTACTTTTTCTACACTGCAGTGGAGCTTTTGTTTAAATCAAGTGAAGTTACAAATGTGAGTCTATTTTTACACTTTATTTTTATTCATTTTATTGGTTTTTCCATTCATATGTGCAATTTTTTTAAAATCTACTTTTTTCTTTATTGATTAAGGTATTAAAATGGGTTAAATCTGAAAAATAATCTAGTTTTATTTAAAGTATTGGTATCTTTTATTGGAAATTCCTTTTTTTCTAACATATTGCCTGGTTATTCTAGAACACTTGCATTCCCACATACATTTGATACCAACTCAAGTATTAAAAAATACTGAAATTTTGATTGTTACTGCATTAACCTGTGGGAAAATTTAGGGAGTATCTATAAACCTCATCACATTTATTTCTGACCCAGTGGACATGACATATTGCTACACTTATGTTTTCTTTAATAACTCGGTAATGTTTTTGTAGTTTCTAGTAATAAAGCCATGCAAAGCATTCATTAGATTTTTTCTTTTAAGATTTTACAGATATTTCTATGTAATTGACAGTTTAAAACAATTTTACTTGTGTTTATTAGTAGACAGACAGTTAATTTGTGTTTATGCTAATATCATACTATTTTGATAACTATGGCTTTGTTATACTTTGATATTATGTAGCCTAATTCTTCCAACTTTGTTCTTTCGCAAAAATCACTGTGTTATTCAGGGTCTTTAGTGGTTCCACATAAATTTTTGGAATATTTGTTCTAGTTCTGTGAAATACCCTGTTCATGTCTTCATAGGAATTGTGTTGAATCTGTAGATTGGGTATTATGGATATTTTAATTATGTTAACTCCTCCTACCTAAGAACACAGTATATGCTTCCCCTTATTTGCATGTTCTTAAATTACTTTCTTCAGTGCCTTATAATTTTTAGAATACAGGTCTCTTTGCATCACTGGTTAAATTTATTCCTAGGTGTTTTGTTCTATTTGAAGCAATTATAAATGGAATTGTTTTTTAGTCTCCCTTTCTGATAGTTCATAATTGGTATATAAAAATGCAATTGATTTCCAGATATTTATTTTGTATCCCGCTACTTTACTAAATTCACTTATTAGTTCTCATAGGTTTTTGGTGGAATCTTTAGGGTTCTGTATATATGGTATCATGTCATTTGCAGATAATGACAATTTTACTTCTTTCCAATTTAAATGACTTTTATTTCTTCTTGTCTGATTGCTATGGCTAGCACTTCCAGTAATGAGTTGAATAAGATTGGTGAAAGTGGACATCCCTGTCTTGTTCCTGATCTGAAAGGAAATGCTTGTCCCTTTTGCCCATTCAATATGATGTTGGCTATGGTTTCTCATATATGGCCTTTATTTAGTTGAGATATCTTTGCTCTATCCTGAGTTTGCTGAGAGTGTTTATCATAAATGGGTGCTGGATTTTATCAAATACTTTTTTCTACATCAATTGATATGATCATGTGATTTTTATCCATTTTATTTACATAGTGTGTCATCTTTATTGATTTGCAGATATTGTACCAACCAGCAGCTGATATGAGAACAATTATTATTAGGTGAACATTTACAAGTTGATAACAAGAAAACATTTCTAGTTTCCCAGGCCTATTAAATGTCACTGCTTTCTAAGGCTTATCATATATCATAAACAGCTTCTATAACCTAATTTATGGTATATACATTTGATATTGAACTTCACCTAGGGCGTTTGCTCAGGATTTTCCATAAGCTATGCAGGGCACCTTTCACATCTTTGTTTCTCAAGCTATAGATCAAGGGGTTCAGCATGGGTATGATCAAAGTGTAAAACACAGAGGCCATTTTATCACTGTCAAAGGAATGACTGGACTTGGGCTGCATATACATGAAGGATAGAGTTGCATAGAATACAACCACCACTGTCAGGTGAGATCCACAGGTGGAGAAGGCCTTGTGCCTGCCCTCTGCAGACTGCATCTTGAGGATGGCCAGGAGGATCAGTATGTAGGACACAAGGACCACCAGAAGAGATGAAACCAAATTGAACACTGAAAAGATCAGTATTATCAACTCAATGTCACGTGTGCTTGAGCATATCAATGTCAACAAGGGAAGATTGTCACAGTAGAAATGATTAATGATATTATGGCCACAGAAAGATGAAATAAAAATCTTTATGGTGATTATCAGAGAGAGAAAAGCACTATAGAGATAGGGGACTGCTACCAGTGCCCAGCATACCCTTGGTGACATGATGACTGTGTAGAGCAGAGGATTACAGATGGCCACATAGCGGTCATAGGCCATTGCTGACAGAATGAAAAGTTCACTGGTGATAAATATACTGAAGAAAGTGAGTTGGGTA